GGCGCCGGCGCCGTCGGGGGGCGGGCCCTCGTGGCAGCGCTCGCACGGCATGAGCAGCGTGTCGCGCGCGAACAGCACCACGACGGCGACGCGGCGCTCGTACTGGCTGTCGGCCGGCGTCGCGTCGCTGAGCGCGGGCGAGGCGCGCCGACGGGCGTCGCTGGCGCCGCGCATCCACGCGCGGTCCGCGTAGTACAGGCAGTTGGTCACGCTCACCTGCGCACGCGGTGGGAATTAGTTTTAATTGAATTTTAATTCGATTTTAATTAATTAAACATTTAATTTATTAGTTCATTAATTATTTGATCTATTAGTTGATTAATTATTTAATCTATTAGTTGATTATTTAATCTATTAGTTAATTATTTAATCTATTAGTTAATTATTTAATATATTAATTAATTAATTAATTGAAACGCATGGCAATTTTAATTGATTGATTGATTGCCGGTGCGTCAAATTCTAAGATCGTTAATCCTGTAAGTGTAGTGCATGTTTTATCGCAGGAAGTAACGGTGAACTTTCTCTGCTGAATGGTGACATTCGGCGCCATCCTTTATTTCGCCTTGCAGGATTTTCCCAAACATGCATCTCCCCTTTTATGACTGCGTCACTGGGGGCTTGCTCAGAAGTGGACTCCCTACTTGTGTGAGATGTATTAAAGTGTAGGTGTGTATAAGTAGGGGGGGGAGGAGGAGACACGAATTAGAAATGAAATATCGCGTGCGGACCCTTGTCTTCTTGTTTTTGGGCAGTTCTGACATTCGCCCGGTTTTAAGAGGAGAAAGCACGGATAACTGCCGATAATAGCAGACAGCTGCTAGACATTCATACAGAGGTTCAATTCGACAAGCCATGAATTTACCGTCCCAACTTCAGCACCGTCGAAACTCGAATCCTCACTCAACGACGCTGCACAAGCAACAATATTGCTACTGAGCCATTTTCGTGGTTTCTCTGAACATGACCAGATGAATATCGCAGCAGTATCCTAACAAAAGCGCGTGACCGTTCCTTCCTCTTCGTTATCCTATCCATACCTCTTACTTAACACACTTACATACACTTTCCTACCACACATGCAGGGAAACAAGTCGAAAGCTTAAACCTTATCCCGGCCGGTGCGGTGCCCCGCAGGTGGGAGATGTCTGCATGAGAAAGATATCGCGAGTCGACGTGTAGGTTGACGCCGGATCTTACTATACTGCCGGGGGGGGGGAATCGCCGCATCCCGTGATGAAACACGCTCTACATTTAAAGGCTGATGAAACCTACATTAAGCCCTACATTTAAGGGCTGGTGACCATAGCCGGTTACGGGCCTTCAAACACAAAATCATTAACCAATCAACATTATAATGGTATGACTTCTAGACTGCCCGGGTGACGCCGCCTCTTTGGAAGAGAGGCCTAGAAGTCATAAACTCGAGTCGCGGAAGCCTACGTGTACAGTAATAATGGTACTTGTTTGCGCTGACCTCGTACTCGCCGGAGTTGACGAATCCCCGCTTCACCACCTCGAAGGGCCAGTCGGAGGGCTTGGGCAGGCCGTTGCGCGGCGCCAGCAGCATGATGGAGCTGGCGCGCCGCGTCTTGGTGCCCATGCGCAGGTTCGAGATCACCTCCAGCCCCTTGTTGGTGACGTGCGTCACCTCGAGCAGCTGCGTGCCGCGGATGCCCGTCTCGGTGGTGAGATGGTGGCACACGTAGCTGTCGAGCAACCGCTGGCAGATCACCATGGGCTCACAGTCGCCGCTGAATTCCCGAAAGCGGAGATTGCCGGTGTGGAGTTGCTCCAGAGAGATCTGCAGGAGACGAGTGTCCAGCGAACAGGCGTGGAATTTATTCCACTGCTTCAAATCCTTCTCGAACACTTTCACTTTGTAGTTGAGGTGTTCTATCTTCATCCCTAAGCTTTCCGATTCATCACCGCCCGTTCCCGCGTTCTTCTCGCCCCATAGGTGTTTCAGTTTGTATCTGATGCTGTAACCTTTGTAGGACTTTATTTTCTCGTAGTAGTCTGTCAAGTGTTCTCTGTTTTCTTTCATGTACAAGTTCTGGTAATGGTGACGTAGCATGTTGTAGTATAAAGTTTTCTCCGCGTAGAAAGCATCTACAGCATAGCGCTCATCCTCAGATACTAAGAGCTGTTCCAAGCTGGTGATGGTGGGAATTTGATGCACAACGTAAGATCTGCGAATAACAATTTTATATTAAATGTTAGTTTTATTTTAAAAAATGCACTTGTATTATATGTCTAATAAAATAATGACATTATGGCATTACAAAAATAATTACATCTATACTTTCCTTATCACATATTTTCAGGAGCGTTTTTCGAAAACATTTCTCTAATAAAAGTTAGTTACTAGTTCAACCTTAACACAAGTCAATAAATAGCAGTAACATTTTTTTCTTAATTTTAAACCACAATGTGAAGAGATACAATACGTTCATTCGTGTATTCGTGAGTTGGGGGTACTTTACATATAGCTCCTGGGTCTTTTCAAAATTTTCAAAAAAGTCTCCATTGTTCGTTATTAAATTGTGTTGTTGGAGAGTGTGAAGGACGTTTAAGAGAATCGTGCAGATCTCATACTTGTTGAAAACCTGATTTTTCGAAAATTGCAAAGGTTCAAAATTTTTTCGGAGTCTTTCTACAAGTAAAACATTAGAGAATTTTCCCCTAATGAAATCTGTTTCTCAGAGATAGATTTTGACCCGTATATACTATGCTACGTCACAGCAGCATTCATGAAGATTATATTTGTTACTTTTGAACATTTTTTCTGCTGTGCGCCACTAGTCAAATATAATTTCTTACTTGTTCAAAATTGTTCAAACAGGCAATAAAATTTATAGTTATATACGAAGCAATCGTTTAAAAACATCATTCTGTACCGTGTAAGTGATGTAGAAAGAATGCGGTTGATGTTATAGGATTTTCATAATTTAGGACACATATGTGCCTTGATTTCGGCTTCCATTCAGGTTTGTCTTGCTGCGCGCACTCTACCCGCGAATGCGCAGGTAGAGGGGACACCTGGTGCCCAGCGACAAAAGGCCAACCTTCGCGAAGCCCTTCGAACTTCAGCAATGTGGCCCTAGGTGGCGTTAATATCGTAGCATCAATGGCTTCGTCGTATCACAGGTATCAGGGCGGAACGTGTCCCACGATAATGCACATTTAATGAAAGATAGATTACACCATTCTTTTACAAATATGATTTAATTATAATTTTACAATGCATGTGAAATCACTTGTAAAATAGGACTGGATAGCTGTTAAAAATCAAGCGAATAGAGATTTTGAGAACTGAAAATTTATTTGTATAAAAATACCAATTCCTTTCGATTCCAATAGTCTAAGCCTCGACACCGACAAAGCCGATTATTATAATGTTTATAATTGTTTTATTGTTATTATTATTGTTGTTGTTGTTATTATTATTGTTGTTGTTATTGTTGTTATTATTTTTGTTGTTATTATTTTTGTTGTTATTGTTATTATTGTTATTATTACTATTGTTGTTGTTATTATTATTATTATTACTCGCGAATACGCCGACTTGGACCATGCGTGCATGTACCCTGCATTTACCGGGGCTCAGTATCATCTCGGGGGCAGGTGTATGTAATTTTAACGGAGGATAAGCATTTAGCTGGATCCGATTTTTATCCCCAGATTTCTCAGCCCTGGGAATATGGAAGAATTATGATCACTATAATGAGGGGCGAAAGGTCGACACGCACATGCAGACATACCAAATACACCTACGCCTGAGGTGGGACTTGAACGGAAATCCTCTCGACGGAAATCTTCTGGGCAGAGACCGCTACGGCACTACTGCCTTCACGATCTCGGCTATCTCATTGGCGACTTCTTAAAATTAATATTAATAATGATAATAATAATTATAATAATAATTATTATTATTATTATTATTATTATTATTATAATAGATCACTATTATTATTACTAGTCCTCGTGGCTAGTTGTTGGTCCGCGTGCTAGCTTTCCTCGACGCGGCCTCGGTTCGATTCCCGGTGAGGCAAGATTAAAGTGTGCGTTTTCTTTGCAGTTTCCCAGTATATGTTCCTGTGTGACGATGAGAAAATTCACTTCTCAGGTTGAGAAGACCGGTGGAGATGTCTACGTGTTAACCACACGTACCCCCTTAACCCATGGCCGCGAGGCAGGGACGTTGCCGGCAGGCCTGAGCCGCTCACGGGCTGACATGCCAAGTATGTACATACATACATACATACATACATACAGACATACTGTGACGTCATGGATACTCACAGCGACCACAGACACAGAGCTTTCGTATAACAAATATATTTATTAACAAGAAAACAAAACAAATATATACACTTAATAATCTACTTACACCCTAGCTCTGATAGACCTACTATCCCCTGATCGCGGGAGCGATCCAAACCCGATTGAAGATGGTTTTGATTGTGACATTCGCCACTCCTACTTTTGAAGCGCGCACAAAGCCTAGCTTCCGTGACCGGATGTCACGCTGGGACACAAAGTCCGTTCTGGCGCACCAACGGCTGGTTTGCCTCGATCGCAGGAGCGATCTTATCCGATTGAGAATCGGCGTGAATCGTGGCACTCAACCACTCTTCACCTCGGAGCACGCACACAGCATCGCTCCCCCGTGACCGCAGTCACCCAAGGACATAAAGTCCGCAGGCTTCGTCAACTAATGACTCCAGCCTCGCGAGCCTGGCTCGCATATGCACCGTCTTGGCGCCAAGTTTTGTGCACACGCACGAGGTTCTCCCACTGTCTCCAGAACCTGCCTTCTGGCTCCGTACACTCTGTTATATAGGCGAGGCCCACGTGACCTCCTACGTCACGCCACCCCCTCGCTTGTTATAACAGTGAAAAGCTTCTATAAGCCGGAAGACACCCAAAGCCTTGTGTCTCCCGTCTCCACGTTCTTCCCTTTACGGAAAAACCCTTCTTCCTGTGGCGAGACTAATCCGCAACCAAGCGTCCCCAAATAGATGCCATGAGGCACGCTGGCTAATACGTTACAATACATACATACATACATACATACATTACATACATACATTACATATATACATTATTACTACTACTATTATTATTATTATTATTATTATTATAGTTGTTGTTATTTTGTACCTGTAGTTGCAGAGCTGGGCCACGGGGCAGTCCCCGTAGACGGGGTCGGCGAGCTGTAAGTTCTGCAGGTTGGGCGCGTCCCTCAGCGGCAGGATGTCGGTGAGCATGAAGAGCGGGTTGGCGGAGAGGTTGAGCGTGGTGAGCGCGAGGCAGTTGGCCCAGTGGGCGACGAGCGAGGTGATGCGGTTCTTGCTCAGGTTCAGATCGGCGAGGGCCGGCGCTTTCGGGAAGCGGCCCACCTGGTTGGTGATGTGTCGTTTCATTTAATAATTCACTGGCCTTCGGCTTAAACGACAGACACACTACAAACAGTTGTATAGAGACAACTTCGTGGTTATTGTAAAACTCTTCATCAACGGAGGTACAAGAAATTCGGATTTATAGTCGATGACAAAGTTTCGGGGACTTACAATTATCGGTCCCCTTCATCGGTCATACGATATAAAAGTAATAGCTAAAAATGCCGTGTAGCCATAGCGAGAAGCACATCATAGCAAAAAAATCATAATAAATCTGTTGATATTTGTTATAAATCTTATGGGCTGTTTCTATGAAAGTATTAATAGACTTGTGTTTGTCGTTAAATATAAATCATTTAACAACAAATGTTGGTATTATTCCTTCCACTAATGCATATGCATTGGCATCGAAAATTTGTATCGATTTCAAAAATTTTAACTAAGGTATTTCCATGTTAAAGAAACGGCAAGAAATTTTCTATCCTAGTATTTCAAGGCTGATATGTTTAGCCGATTCTCCACACACTTCTCAAAAGAGTTACACAGTTCATTAAACATGCTTTTACTCCATTCGTACAAATTAAATTAAACTTGAGGTGATAATGAAATAAATCTTGTGTGTATTTCTTTCATTGTTAAAAGAGAGATACTGAATTATTTTATCAGAAATTAAAGTTTCATTTTCATGTTCAGGAATTGAGTAAATATTTTCGTGAATGTCTACCCTCGTCTTTTGGACAGTGTACAAGAGAACGAAATGTGACTCTTTGCGTCGTTTTCGAATTGAATAACATGTGATCAAGCCGAACTCTCTCACAAACAAAACTGTACAATCATTGTAAAATCAGCGTATACAGAAGGAATAATATTTTCTACGGCTTCCCTCTATGTCTTATTAAAATGGCGAGAAACAATTTTTATCTAGAAAGATTATTAAGATTTTTTAATGTCGAATGTTACCTCTTGTCTAAACTAAATTTCTAAAATATTTCATTTAGAATTTTTTAATAATGCCATTGAATTAAAAAGGAACATTTATATCCCAACAAACTCTATTGTAAACAATAATATATACACATTAAATATAAACAATAATACGAAAGAACATTTGTAAAATTTATTAATTAGTAGTTTAGGATTATTAAAATAGTATTATTATTATTACTAGTATTAAGATAATTACTATTAAATGAATTGCTTTAGTAAAAATATATAATTATATTTAAAGTAGTGGAGTGTCGTGACATGTTGTGAAGTGCAAGTGTAGTGAAGTGAAGTGTACTTAAAAAGTGTATTTATTAGTTAAAAGATCTTTGCAGGACTGTCATTAAATGTAGAGATAATGCTTTTATTGTTATTATTGTATTTATTGTTATCATTTTATTATTATTAATATTATTGTCTTACAATTATTTAAATTACATTATATCAATATTCCTAATTGTAATATGTTAATTGTAGTTTTCTGCAACCAGGTTGTATCAACCTAACTGCAGAAATAATAAATCTATCTATAATACAAATGTTTTCAATGATGTTTTCTTTAATAATCTTACAGTGAACAAGTAAGCAACCCAATATTTAGTCAAATCAGAGGAGGTGGAATCGCCGATTGCGCAAAAATGTACCCTTATGTAATTTCGAACGCATTTCAGTTGTGTATAGTATAGCGCTATTTAAACAACGCGTCTGCCCTCCCTACTTGGGTGATGTCGTTGGAGGCGATCCAGAGGACGCGCAGGCGCCGCAGGCCATCGAGGCACGGCACCTCGCGGATGCGGTTCGAG